CGAGCCCTCCATGGAACCGTCAAGCGCGGAGCCGGTCAGGAAAACTGCAGCAGGTGGTCCCCCGGAAGGGGTCCGGGGAGCGTTCCCGAGCGGATGTGCCATCATATCCCTCCACTCTTGACCGACGTGGGGCCCAACCAGCTCGGGCCCCCAGGCCGCCTCTAAATATTCGCATCTGTCTGAGGTGTTCGCGGAGGTCCAGAAGGTCGTTCCCCACGCGCGGCCGAGACTCAGAGGAGAAAAAGGTACCCATAGCTCTACCCTTCCCTCGTTTTCCCCTTTTTGGGACTCCCCGTCGCCACCGCTGGATTCGCCTCGAAACCCTCGTCAGAACACACCCCGGGAGAGGCCCAGGGAGTAGCGGTATCGGTGCCTTCTGGCTTCCCCAGGGACAGCTTGGGTTTCCTAGATGGCAAGAATGGAGGAAGAAGAAGAAGCGGTAAGAGCCCAATTCTCTGCGCTCCGCGCGGGGTTACTGCAGCGGCGCTGCGTGGCGCGCCAGGGAGGGGGGCCCAGCGCCGATCCATCCAAGAAATCCGCGCGGGCCTCAGAGAAATGTTGTCTATGCTGGTTCTTGTTTCTCTAAAGAGAAGCCCGCCAGCCCTTTTCGCGGCCGCGGGGCTCGAGTAATCCCGGGTGCCACGAGTATCCCACCTGGCCGGGCCCTGGGCATCGAAACGACAGACAACAGCAGTCCACGCTTAGTCAGCCATCACAGGCGTCATGGCGCCACGCCGTGCGCTGATGTCAAGAGCAGGCGCCAGCAACAGGGGTCACTCACATACCTCAGTCATTGGCATCCTGAAACAGTCAACTCTGCACAATTGCACAACACGAGCACTCATACAGAACAGATGTGGAGAACATCCACCAAGACCGTGCATCACAAATCCGTAGCCAGTTTGGCTCAAGTCACTCTGGTCGGGGCAGAATGGCTAACCAGTGCAAGACGCGTGCTTGCTGGCTGGCCACCACTCTGACAGCACATGTCCATGCTCGTGGCGACGTCTCAAGATGGCGAGGCTGCCTTCGCCGACCCGATCCAGGGCAAGCCAGCGCTCCCCGGCTCCCCGGGAGAGAGCTCGTTCCCTACGCGGTGCCCGTCGTCGGAGCTGCTGACCTCAGATCGGTGCGATGAGACGACCACGGCCACGACACCACCGCGCCGCAGAAGGGCGGCGACGAGCCGGCACTCCTCGAGCAGGTGCTCCTCGAGCCAGCCGTGTAATTACCCCCGCGGGGAGCTGGCCCGCCGTGGCAGCGCAGAAGGAGGCCCCCCTCCGGCGCCACGTTCCCTGAGATCCGATGTCGTGATTTTTTGAATACGGGGCCCCCAGAAGTCTCGACCCATTCCCCAGGATCGGTTTTTCATCCTGAGTCATTTTTTGGCGGTCCTGGGCTGCAGATTCGCGCCTCGGGGGCCCAAACCAGAGTGACGCCGGACCGCAGTTGTTCCGGATAGCTCGGGCGCCCAACCCTGAGTCACCAGGGCTGGGGGCAGTCAGGGGTAACGACATGCTCGCGCCTCGGAGGCCCAAGCTGGAGTGACCCCGGACCGCAGCCATCCCGGGTAGCTCGGGCGCCCACCCCTCCCTGCCGCCGCAATTTGGGCCCAAGCCTGCGTGTCACGCGCGACGCGGTTCGGGGCCCCCTGGCGGAGCACGGGCGCAGCGGCGCCATGTCGGCGGGGGCAGCGCTCGCCGTGGCGGGGGCCGTCGCGCTGGTGGCGCTGGTGGCACTGCTGCGGAACATCGAAGAAGAAACATCGGCACGAACAGGAGTTGTCGGAGCTCCGCGCGGGTAGTTCTCGGGTCGGCGCTGGGCTCCCCACGGCGCGCTCCGCGCGCCAGGAGGGGGGGCTCCAGCGCAGATTCTGGAAATCCGCGCGGGGCCCCGGGGAGCCCATGCCAAGAAGCACCCTGCTTGCCTCCTGGGGTTCTTGAGTTTCGATGGTTTTGCGATGGAACAACGTGACGTCCCCATACCAAACGTCCATGGACATCCTGGGGTCTCAGGGTTGGGTTTTTTGGTGGAAGGCTTCTTGTGGTCGAGCTCCTGCTGCATGTTTGTGCCATGCCTTCTTCTTCTAGAGAAGGCCGTGGCCCTTCAAGGAGCTGCAGCAGATCGGGGGAGGGAAGGCCTCCGCCGCCGCCGGGCCTCCACATTCCCGGCTCGGGCCCCGACCTCGGTGGGCTTCGGCCCCCGGCCGAGCAGGAGACCCCGTCCGCTACAGTCGGAGGTTGAGGTTCGAGGTGTTCGGGATCGAGGTTTTCGGACGTGTTCGTCGGCTCTCGGCGGTTTTCCAGCCTCGGGAGGTTTGCCAGCAGCTGCGCCTCACCGAGAGCGTTCCGGGGGGGCAGGATTGTTCCGAACGGCCGCCGGAGACCCGAGCTTGACCCAAAAACCAGAGATGGTCGGCGGCGGACCGAGGTCGAGGTCGGTTCGGGGAGTGTTCTGCGTGTTCGTTGGATGTTCTTGTGCATCCTATAGGGCGGGTGTACCCTCAGATGCTCTGCCCGTCTTGGCCCGCGGAGGGTCTCCTATGGTGCTTGAGGGATGCTCTTCTGGCCTGGGTCCGATCGTGGAGGACAGCGGACCAGGAGAGCTGATGAATGAACTAATCAAATTGGGAAATCCCCAATACGGAGATCGCTTACAACTGCGTTCCCGTCGCTGGCCAAACAGGTAAGCAATCATGGATGGGCATCCATGCCATTACCATCTGCAAGCATGCGTTAGAGACATCGGCCATCAATGACCGACAAACGATGCACGGCTTCTGAGTGAGTTCCCAACGATGGCCAACACTCCGCCGACCCCTCGACGTGTGTGAGGCGCTTTTACGTTTGAGTCGTCGTCGTGCAGGCGGACGCCTTCCGTCCCCCGGAGCAGAAGGGCACCTACAGGTCCACCCCGCTGCCTGCGGGCGGCTCTGCGTTAGACGAGCGCAAGCGCGACTTCGCTCGCGTGGTGTCCGCCGGCGCCGGCGGGGGCCTGCTGGTAGTCACGCCCCACGCAGGGGCGCCAGAGCCGTGGACGAGCAAGGCCCGGCGACTACCATTAGATCGCCTACAGGAGGAATATTCAAGAATAGCCAGAAGAATAGTCCGGGGACGATTTGTTTAAGCTATGTTCGACCATTTTGGAGCATTTTTGGGGTATTCTTTATTTAATCGCTTCGCTCATTCCGCCGGCCCTGGAGCCCTCTTCAGGGCCTCTTGGGGGCCTCTTGGGGGCCTCTTGGGAGTCTCTTGGGGCTCCTTGGCAGCGTCTTGGGGGCCCCCAGGGGCTTTGGGGGACTTTTGGGAGCCTCTTGGGGCGGGAGGGGGGGTAGTCGATTGCGGCTCCCCCCTCGGAGGCCACGATCCTTGTGAGGGGTGTCGAAAAATGGCCCTCCCCTGGAGTGCTCTGGTGGCTTCTCCCGGGACCTTGCCCGGGTACCTGTCGTCCGGGGGCCCCCAGCGGCCGCTCCGCGCGCGCGAACTAGAAATGTTCTTAACCAGTTACCGGAGATCTCAGCACGCCTCTGGCCCGTTGGGCCGGCGAATTGTTCGTCCAAAATCCCCCTGCAGGGGGGCATGCCCGACCTAAGACTGCCAAAAAAGTCTGGGCGACGCCGGCGTGCGGCCTGCGAGGCGCGTGTCGTCGGGGGCCTGCCGGGCGCCGCGCGGCTTTTTCGTCGGGCAGGCCCCCGCGGGGCGCGGTGGGGAGAGCTCCGTCGAGGTCCTTGCACCCCTCCCCTTGGCATCGCTCGGGCGTGTGCATTTTTCCTTCGGCGAGGACCATCGAGGAGCATCCTTGATCATTCGGCGAAAAAACCACGCACGAAACCGAAAAAAGCACAGGGAATGGACGTCCGAGCGACGCCCGGGCGTGGGTGGCAAGCCGCACCCTCGGGCAGCCCTCTCGGGGCGCGGCGGAGAGCTCCGTCGAGGTCCTCGCCCCCCTCCCTTGGGATGCAACTCCTGGGAGCTTAGCTGCCTCGATACGCTCGTTTTGATACGCAATACGTCCCGTGTGCAAGACGTCCGTGTCAATGCGTTGCGTGTTGGCTCCACGTATCGGGCCACGTTTCGGCGAGTGTATCGCGTCGGACCTACGTTTTCAGCCTACGTGTTGAGCTCCGTATCAATACGCTACGTGTTGCGTGTTGCGTATCGGGGCAGCTAAGCCTGGGAGGTCAAGTTCTGATTTTGCACTGGTCCGAAGAACGGCTCAATCCCGCTGAATCCCGCTGAACCCCGCTTAGTCCGGCTCAATCCCGCTGAATCCTAGGCCCACTCCAGCATAATAGCTGCCACATGGGGCTTAATCCTCCTTAACCTTTCCGACGAAAATCTCCCAGTAGTTGCCTCCTAACCTCCCCGCCAGGGCATGGGTGGCGAGCCGCACCCTCGGCGAACCACACACCCTTCGCAGTCGCCCACAGGCGGCGGCGGCGTCGGCGGGCGGGGACGTGAGCAAGGAGGTGGCCGACGCGGTCTTCGAGGAGTTCGCTCGCTGGCTCCAGGATCAGCTCGGCGCCAGGGCCACCGAGGGCGTGGCTGCGCGGGCGGTGGCGCTGGCGGCCGTCCACGAGGGGTTCTGCTTCACCATGGAGCTCTGGGCCTCCCACATGAGGTCCGAGTACAGCCAGATGCTGAAGTTAGGAACAGTTTGGATTCTGAAGTGGCTCGATGTTCTCTATGTCCTTCCGTGGTTGTTCCTCTAGCCCTTCTCGTGCACCCAGGCTTTTTTGAAGCCACAGAGGGGCTTCGTTCCTTATTCAGCGTTCCTTATTTCAGCAGCCCGACTGTAGATGGGGTCGAAGGGTCGCTCCGCACCGTCGCTGCACCGACGCAGCGGCTTGATGTGGAGCCAAAGTTTTTCCACGCCGATGGCGCCGATTCATCGCCGACGTCGCCCATGCATCGCCGATGCACCGCCGATGCACTGCACTGGCGATGCGGCGCGATCCTCCGACCCCATCTGCTCGGACCCCGTCTAGGAGGCCCCCAGGAGCACAAGTTCCCGCCGATGTTCCCGCAGTCCAGATACGTCTTGGTCGTCGGGGCCCGCGCGCAGGTGTGGGTACTGTGGCTTGCCTTCGTCACCGACAAGCCCGCGCCAGACCTGAAGTCCACCCCGCACATCTCGGTTTATGATGTTCCAGCCTACCTTCGCCTTGACCACCAGAAAGAATTCCGAGCACTAGGAAGGCACCGAATCTGGAGGGCTGTCGCGTGTCGGGCCCTGGGAGGCGGTGATCGTTCGACACTGCTTCGACACTTTTCTAGGTGCTCGAAATTACTTCCTGGATTGTGTCCTTCAAGTACAAATTGCGCATTTCTGATTATTCGAAAATTCCTTGGTTTTTTGGGGGCCACGCTCCTTTCGTTTCTGGTCGTTCTATCCTGGGCCTCCTCCTGGCCACTGGGGGGCCAGGAACAGTCAGAAGCGAGCACCACTAGCAATGAGCACGACTAGAAACGAACGACGCACACCCATAGGGGGGGGCGGAGAGGGCCATGGGGTGCGTGTGGTCGGAGGGGGGTGCCCCCTCGAACGGGAGCCTCCCCCGGGGCTCCGCCCACCCGCACCCGTGCCCATAGCCAGTCCTCCTGCCTCCGACCCCCCCCCTCTGAGCACTGGGCCTTGGGAACAGCATAGACCTCGGTGGAGAGCCGCGGGAGGCGGCGGCGGCGCCCCCGCCCTGGCCCGCAGCCGCTCCGGGGCCGGTCACTCGCGGGGCCCCGCGCGGCCGGGCCCCTGCCCCGACCCGTCTGGTTTCGCTCCGAGGCGCTGCCCGGCCGCGGCGGCGAGAGGCCTCCAGGAGGCCCCGATCGCAGGCAGCGGCGAAGCGTCTTGGCGTGCCCATAAGGGCTGCCAAGCCGTGTTCTGAGAACCTCTGGCGGTCTCCGCGGAGTGCTCTTCGACCGTTTCTGGCCGGGACGGTCCTGTGTTGGAACACATCGGGTCAAGGTTCTAGGAGCCTTGCTGTTGTTCGTGGCACACTTTTGGGGTTCGAAGAACGCCGGGACGGTCGGTCCCTGCCCAACGAGCAGAGGTTGATGGGCCTCCTGCCCTGACGCGTCGAATCGCGAGTGGGCCGTTCTCGGTTCACGAGAGGGCGTCGCGGCCGTCAGCTTCGCGGGCCGGGGCCCGCCGATCTTGGCCCCAGGCCGCTTTCACTAGAGGGTGGCTTACAGTGGGGGCGCGCAGCAAGAAACCGTATGCTTTTCGTGAGGGTACCCTGGGTTTCTTCTCTCCTCGCGCTGCTCGGCGACTTCCCGCAGCCGCTGAAGGAGCTGCTGCGTTCGGGGTGCTCCAGGCTTTCCCTCGGGTGCACCTCGCGCACGGGTTCTCAGGGTTGGGTTTCTTGCGAGGGGTTCTTGCGGCCGCGTCCGCACTGTACTGAAGGGAGGCTTGTCCACCGCCGGAACAAGGATCATGGCGCCAACATCGCAGAGCGGATCGGGCTCGGAGAACACCGGGATGGGCCCGGACTGTCCTGGAGAGTCTCGGTCCGGATTTCGAAGCGTATCTCGTGTGGGTTATGTTTTTTGGGCCAGGAAGGAAGACTGCTAAACATCCACGAGAGATGCACGTCGCTTCTCGCTCGCCGTTTCGGGGTCTTGCCTTGGCAGAAGTCCACGCGACAATCCGGCGCCGCACGTCTGCAAGGTCGGTGCACTGACGAGGCGGGCGAATAACGCCAGGAAGCGCCGCCGTGGTCTCGGCTCTGGACGCCCGAAATGAGCACGGAAAGAATGGGTACGGTGCCCAACAGCAGCTCTTGTTCATTTTGAACAGGACTCGCTGTCCACGCCGCCGCGGCCTGTGTCCATTCGAGACAGAAGGCCGCCTGCCCAGCAGCGGCCGCTGTTGGTTTGGAACAACATTTGTTGTTGGGCATTGTACCCATTCTTTCCGTACCCACTTTGGGCGTTCAGATTTGCGGGCCCTCCCCCGCACATCCTGAAGCTGGCCACGTGCGACCTCAACACCGAGGCCGCGGCCGCGGAGGCGCCGCAGAGCGGCCTGCACATGGACTACGTGGTGGTCCCCACGCGCGAGCGCGACCTGGGCAGGTACGCTCCCAAGCCGGGCGCGTCTCCCCCTTCAGGAGGAACAGCCAAAAAGAGTCAAAACAAAAATAGTCTGGGGACGATGTCTCTATGATGTTTGTCGGAGGTGGATCGACCTCCTACCCTGACACGTCGATTGAGGAATTGGCCGTTTTCGGTTCGCGAGAGGGCGTCGCGGCCGTCATTTTGCGGGTCCAGGTCCGTCGGTTTCGGCCCCAGGCCGTTTTCATTAAGGGGAGGTTTACTAAAGGGAGGTTTGTCCACCGCCGAGTTTGAGCATGTCTGAATATTCGGTTGACTACTTGTTATGTCTCGTCCACAGTCCGCTGCAGGGGGACACGCCGGACCGGGGAATAGGTACGCGCAGCAGCGGCAGGCGTCCGCGCTGAGCCGGGCGGCTGTGGAAGGCTGCTGGGGCGAGGTGCTGTGCTGATCGAAGAGGAAAGAGCACGCCATAAGCTCCTCCTCCTCCTCTTCCTCCTCATCCTCGTCTTCAAACTGTTGGCGCTCCGCGCGGATGTCTTCGATCCGCGCTGGGACCCCGCCCTCCGGCGCCGCCCCCGGCGCGCCCCGCGCGCCAGGGCGGGGGGGCGCCAGCGCAGATCCCAGAAGCCCGCGCGGGGCGCCAAAAGTTTGTGTCGGGGGGGCGGGGGGGGTACCTGTAGTCCGGGGGGGCGCGGGGGGGCGGGTACCTGCAGTCCGGGGGCAGGGGGGGGGCACCTGTCCTTCGGGGAGGGGGTGCGTACCTGCAGTCCGCGGGGGGCACCTGTGCAGCCCCGGGGGCCCAGAGCCATCGGGGGACGCGGCGTGTGGCGTGCTGTCCTCTTCCTCCGGCGGCGCCTATATAGGCCCTGGCAGGGCGGCGCTATGCGTCGGAGGAGGGCCGGCGCCGAGACCCCGGGCGGCCCTCCCCGGGCGAGGTGCGGCCGCTCCTCTCGGGGCTCCCCAGCGGCTTCTCGCCTCGCCGCGGCCGGGCCCGCCTCGGAGGGCGGGTCCGTCGGGGCGCGGGTGACGTCGGGCGTGCGTCCTTTCTGCAGGAGACGAATTCCAAACATATTCCAACACAGATCCCATGGGGGCGATGTTTGAAGCAGGTGTTATTTCACACGTGGAGATGAGTTGCGGACCATTTTGGAGTTGTCGTCCAACATCTGCCTGTAATTAGGAGGACACGCCCGACCCATGGTTCAGGGGACGGGGGTCGACGCCAACGGGGGTCAGCCAGAGCGCCGGATGTTGCAGGACCCCGCAGGGCCAGGGGGACCCGGGCTTGGGCGCAGGGTCCTGCAGGATCTTGCAGGATCCTGCAAGGCTTGGCTGACCTGAGTCTGGATGGACCCGGGTCGGTAGAGGCAGGTCGGGCCTGTTCCCCGACAGGAGAATTTCCAGCGAAACATTCAAGATACCCAAACATTGCCTCCAAATTTTCAAAATTAGTCAAAACATCGTCCCCAGACTATTTTTTTACTGTTTTTGAGTTTTCCTCCTGTAGAGGGACAGGCCCGATTTAACGGTAGATCCCCGAGTCAGGATGGACCCGGCCGGGAGGGGGTTTGGTGCTCAGTTCTGAGCGGAATGGGGCTCTTGGCGAGAGCGCCGTCGTCGTCTCAATATTGGCCCTCCTCCGACTTGGGGATGGCTCGAGCAGGTCGGTGCAGGCTCGAGTGGTCCCGAAGGGCTGGAGCCGGCAAGCGGACCGCCCCGTCGCAAACCTGCTGGTGCTGGTGGCAAGAGGGCATGCTTTCGTCGCTCCCGCTCCTCTTATCGTTTCTTCCCTTCACCTTCTCCTTTTTACTGCTCGTTGTCTCGCCCTTCTCTTCTCCTCTTCGGACAGGATGTGCATTCAGGCGCGAAGTTCAGCGGTTTGGGAAGCCGGGCGAAGAGGTGCTCGTCAATTCCTCCCGCTTGCCACGGTGCACCCGTCTTGCAGAGTATTGAGGGCCTTTTCGGGGCTTCCTGGGGGCCACCTGGGGGCCCTCTGGCGCCGTCTTGGTGCCCCTCTGGGAGCCGTTGAGGGCTGTCTCAGCAGCATCGTGCACTGTGTCGGGGCCTATCCAGAGGCCCTCTTGTTGGGCCACCTTGAGGCCCGAGGGTGCTCATGGACAGTCTTGGGCATCTATTGGGCCACTCTTGGGCCATTCCGAGACACTCGTGAGCATTCCTACGGCAATCAGCGGCCGAAGATGTGGGTTGGCAAAACACATTGAATCGGGGGTGGACAGAACCCCAACAGTGACACGTCCATTAGTGAATTGTCCGTTTTCGGTTCTCGAGAGGGCGCCGTGGCCGTGATTTTCCAGGCTTGCGCCCGCCAGGTTTGGGCCTCAGGTCGTTTTCACTAAACTACGTTTTACTAAAGGGGGGTCTGTCCATCCCCGATTGAAGCAACATCGGCAACATCCTGCTATGGCTTGGAATATTGCTGACCCGTCCTTTACGGCCTCATAGGCCCTCGTTGGCCATCTCGAAGCGGTCTCTAGATGGGCCCATTACCTCCTCTCGAATCTGCGATTTGGGATCCAGTGGTAGAGATCAGGGGGGAGGAGTGTCTCACGCCTGGCGGCCCCAAAGGGGCCAGCAACTCTTTCTCATGCTCAGCAGTTGGTGGGGTTCATTCATTCCTCGTTGGCTGCTTCACCCTCCCCGTACCCCCTTCACTCCTCCCTCCCACGATCTTCGCTTTCTCCTTTCGTCCTCCCTGCCTGTCCTCGCTGGTCTCCCTCCTCGCTCCTCCAGAGACCAGATACCCACAGGAGGGAGAAAAGCAGAAAAACGCCACGAGGAGGCAGAGCAGTGGAAAGGGGGAGGAGGAGGAGGAATAGGAGGAGGAGGAGGAAGAGGAGGCGGAGGAGGAGGAGGAATGGGGAGGACGAGGAGGAGGAGGAAGAGGAGGAGGAGGAGGAGGCACCCATGCGAGCGGAAAACCGACTCGGGTGACCTGGCCCGAAGGCGCTTCGCATTGCACCCACAGCTGAAGCTGAAGCCAAAGCTGAAGCTCATACATAGAAACGGGAGGAGTTGGACAAAGTGGAGGAGCAGCAGCAGCAGCAGAGAGCGTGAGAGAGGGAGAAAGGGAGAGGGGGAGGGAATGGAGGGAGGGAGGGAGGGAGGAGGAGGAGGGTGGAGGAGGAGGAGGAGGAGGGATGAGGAGGAAAAGGAGGAGGATGACGAGGAGGATGCGGAGGCGGAGGGATGAGGAGGAGAGGAGCAGGAGGGAAGAGGAGAGGAAGAGGAGGAGGAGAGGAAGGAGAGGAGGAGGAGGAGGAGGAGGAGGAGGAGGAGGAGGAGGAGGGAGGAGGAGGAGGAAGAGGAGGGAGGAGGAGGAGAAGGAGGAGGAGGAGCCCTCCCTGCCCTCCAGCCTGCCCCCGGCCCCCGCCGCTCCGCCAGGGGGGGGGGGCCCCCCCTGCGGCGACCATACCCCCCCTCCGCGCAGGCTCCGTGGTGGGCGCACCGCCGGAGGCCGCGGGCCTTGTGGGAAACGAGGGGTTAGGAGGAGGACGACGACGAGGAGGAGGAGGAGGCGGCGTCGACCTCCTCCTCCTCCTCCTCCTCTTCCTCCTCCTCCTCCTCCTCCTCCTCTCCTTCCTCTCCTCTTCTCTTCTCCCCCTTTTTTCCTCCCCCTCCTCCTCTTTCTCCTGCTCCTCTTTCTCCTATTGATCCTCCTCCTCCTCCTCCTCCTCCTCCTCCTCCTCCTCCAGCCTCCTCGCCTCGTGCGTCTCCTCACCCGTTTTTCTTGCACGGGTGCGCATGCAGATTTTCTTCGGCGCCGTCGCCAGATCGCGAAGCCGTTGGGCAACCTGGCGGGCAGGGTCAATGAGGCAATTCCCGCGGGCCGCTGGGGCGCTAGATCGAGCCGTCGTGACAAATCACGGAGCCCCAAAGCAATAACAGCAACAGGATTTGGATGACCCGTTCGGATTGCTAACGTGATCCGGCGTCCCCACAGGGAGCGGGCTCCCGCTTGACACGTTCTCCCCATTCACTCCCCGACGAGGTTCCGTCTCGAGTCGTCCTCCAGATTCAGGCTTCCCAAGCTCAAGAATGAAGACAGTGGCACGATTTGGACGACCCGCTCGGATTAGTAACGTGGTCTGGCAGCCTAATTGGGAGGGGGGGCCCGCCTGAAACATCCTCGCAGGTCACTGACAGACAAAGCTCCTGCTCGAGACTTCCTGCATATCCACGCCTCGGGATCACAAAAGTGACGACAGTCGCAGGATCTGGATGACCCGCTCGGATTAGTAACATGATCGGGCGGCCCAATACAGAAGGGGGTCCCGCCTGACACTTCCTGACAATCCACTCACAGACGAGGCTCTCGCCCGAGCCTTGTTCCAGATTCAAACTTCGGGAGCTCAAGAGTGACAATAGTTGCACGATCTGAATGACAGGGTCGGATGGGTAACATGATTTGGCGTCCCAATAGTGAAGGGGCTACCATTCGAATGATCTTCCATACTCAGGCCAAAGGTGACGACAGGTGCATAATGTGGATGGCCCGTTCGGAAAACATGATTTGGCGGCCCCGTAGGGACATGGGTCCCGCTTGAGATTTCTTCACAATTTACGATAAGCGGGGTTCCCGTTCGAGCCTTCCTCAACATCCAGGCCTCAATAATACAAAAATGGCGACAGTGACGCGATCTGCATGACCCGCTCGGCTTATCAACATGATTTGGCGGACCCGTGCGGAAGGAGATCCCGCCTGAGATTTTCTCACAACCCATTCACAGACGAAGTTTCCGCTCGAGCCTCCTTCCAGATTCAGGTATCGGGAACGAAAAAAAAACATCAATTGCGAGATATGGGTGACCCGCTTTGGGTACTCAGTTGATATGGCGGCTATGGGGGGTGGGTCCGTTCGCGAGCTCTTCCATATCCAAGCCAAACATAAGGACGGTTGCAAGATGTGGACGGCCCTATCGGATTAATAACACGATGCGGCGGCCTCATAGGGACGGGGCTCCCTTTCGAACACTCGTCCATACTCGTTCAGGGCAGGGTTCTTGCTCGAACCTTTTTTATATCCACGCCTGAAGACGTCAAAAGTGACGACAACCCCAAAATCTGGAGGACCCGCTCGGACATGATGCGGCGGCATCATAGTGAGGGGGCCCCCGCTCGAGACTGCCCCCATAGTCGCTCACGTACGAGGCCTCAGGTGCTCCAACATGACGACGGTTGCAGGATATGGATGACCCGCTCGCATTACTGGCATGATCTTGCGGCCCCATAGCCTTCGCGACCAGCAGTCAACCATGGCCCTGCGGGCATTGCAACGAGGGGTGCCAGTGCTACAAGATGCTCGAAAGCCGCGGAGCGCACGCGAGGAACGAACCAGGTCACGAAAAGGATCCAGGTGGCAAAGGCAGCGAATGGAAAAGAGTGCGCATTGATTGCGAGCTGGAGCTGAGGGGGGCGGAGCGGGAGGGC